ACCGTGCGTTATTTTTTTTTTTTTTCTCCTCTCCGGTAGCAGACGACAGGACATGCGGCGTGCGATGCGGCGTGCGGGAACGCTCGCCGTGCGATTTTTTTGCAGTTATGTTTGTTCCGCTCGTTGTTCTGTACTCCAAGATGAGTTTTTTTGTACATTGAGGAGTTGGAGATGAGTAGTTAGTGCCCGTGGTGAATTTCCATGATTGGCTCCGAAAAGAATACACCCAAGATGTTGCGTGAACAGCTGGCTCACATTTCCTGCATCCGAAAAAAAGTTGCATTGTGCGACAGAGTTTCCGAAAGATCAACGGGATCGGGACCAACGGCTGGCTGCAATTCCTGTAGAACATATACGGGCACCTCGGAAAGCGGACGTTACCTGATTTATATGCTCCTTGCATTTTGTGGAAAGTGATTACATTGAGCTCGCAGGTGTCAAAACGGAAATCCCATACCATTTAATTCAGCGAAGTATCGTCCACAACATTAGTTTGTTATTTTTTGTTTGTTTCTTCAGTGATGATTGTAAAAATATATATATATATATGTAAACATCGGAAAATGTTTGAACAAAATAAAAAGTTGCACGGGGGATCGAACCCGGTCCTACCGCGTGTGAACAGGACGTCTTTCCGACTGAGCTACTGGGGCATCGCTTTTCCGGTGGATCTCTTTCCTTAGTAATAATTCGGCCGGTAAACTGTAAGTTGGAAAGTTTGCTGTCGATTTTTCTCTCGCAAAAGCACTCCCGGGTCGAAGTTGGGAAGCACCACGCTTTGGGGACATTCGCACCCAGTAAAGAAATCGTACGCGTGCATATTGAACTCGAAGTAGACACGTCGTGCTTGACGTTTGCGGGAGCGATGTCTTCAGCCACGAGAAGGGAGCGACGGCTCGGCGACGTCTTCGTGCAAATCGGCTTGGTGGCCGGGTGTGTCGTACGGGATGAATACCAATTCTTTTGATCAGTCCCAAATTTCTCTTTTAACGGTAGACAGAATTCGCCGGTACCGCGAACGACAGTTCTGAAATAGAGGTCCCACGCCCGTCGTCCGCTGCCATCGCCGTCCCCGCGAGTCCCGCGATACGCGAAACGACGAACGCACAGAATGCTTCCGGTTGTCTGTGGAACTTTTTTTTTCAATCAACGTATTTACAGCTTTTTAGAAGCCACAAAAAATGGGTTTCATATTTTTTTCTATTTTTAATATTGAGTGTGTGCCTTCAGTGACCCACGACTTCGATTAAATTTGGTGGTCGCATCGATACCTTAGAAAATGGCCCGTGACCGCGAAAAAGAGAGTGAGCGAGACTTGAACCGGCCAGTTCTTGATCGGCGGTTTTCGGGCGGAAAGAAACCGAATTTCGAGCCGCAAATTCTGTTCTGGGTAGTTGAGCTCTCATATGTCACGTACAACTAAAAACCTCAGCGAGCATAAATACCCTGTCAGTGTCCCTTTAAGAGGACAGCGAAATACATGAGCGTCGGCCCAAAGGAGAATAAAGACAGGCTTTTCATCTCTACAAGTGAAAGCTACGTGCTTGTTAGACCAATTAATCGCTTACCTTTTACACCAGACACCACAATGTAGATGAAAAAGTTGTCTTTATTCTCCTTTGGCCCGAAGTCCATACATTTCATTGTCATCTTAACCGCGAATGGAGGCTTTTGACGTCATTTTTGTTGCGTGTGCTCGCGCACACCGTCGGCTGCTGGCCCGTGGAAAGAACGTGCGCCACTATTATGGACACTAAATTGACCCTTTCCGGAATTCAGTGCCATCTGGTGACTCAAATGGCAGTTTACCTTTTACTATATTAATGGCGGCGATGAACCTGTTGTCTGCAGTATTTAATGGGGCATTGTCACTTAAAGGTCAACGGTAAACGAGAATGTGCACTTCACTAAGATTATTTTTCAGTCTCTTATAGTGTCGATGGCAAAACAAACGCAGCCAGTCGAAACGAAGCGCCAACCCACATAGGCGCCTTGATAGAGTCCTATACATCAAGGGGCTTTGAAGCCGAGTGAGTGCTACTAACAGATTGACTGGGACTGAGTTAGAAATGAACGCTTACGCAGCTCTTGCGTCCAATTCCTGCTTCACGTCGCGCTAACATCAAGAATTTATAGGCCTCGAATCATCTGCTTAGGAGCATCTTCAACTTTTTCCTTCATCAGTAAACAGAAGGCCGCCATTAGTGTAGGACATATGGCGTTTTCAGATGATGATGATAGTGATCAAAGTGGTCAGACTGAATTCCGGAAAGGGTCTATTCCTTGGTTCAGTATCCCTTTAACCCAGAGCGTTATTGCGCAATGTGCCGTGTTTGCGATTTTTTCCTAAAAATAACTACCCAACGTTACTAAAACACTCAGTTGGGAAACTCGCCGTCGATACCTGGGCCGCTGGCGTCCACCGAGACCGAGCTAAATGCGACAACAGCGCCACTCTTTTTCGTTTGTCTGTACTATGGTCACCTCGAGCTTTTTGAAAGCCTGTTTTTTGCGTAAAAACAAACGGAAAATACTCTTTTTGTATGAAATTTATTGGAGTTTAGTACCAAATGATGGGCGCGTGATGTTATTATCATCTTTAGTTTGCAAGGTTTTGCGGAACAATTAATATTGTTTTTATAAAACCATGCCTCAGCGGGCCTTTCAGGTAGCGCGTCCCGACCTAGGTGCATTTTAACTTCAGCAGTTCAACGCGGCGCGTCCGCCGGGGAGACGGGGGTTCACCCCTGTCAAAGCCAAAATAGTAGTCACGTGCAGTTCCTCGAGTGGCCGCTGGGGGAGAAATGGTGGCGTTGTGTTCGTCATTTGTTCGGTGCTCGGAGACAGATTGGGGCCATATCTTTTAGGGCTGTCTCTATGGGAGTTTCCCAACTGAGTGTTTTAGTAACGTTGTAACTACCCTAAAGCTCGGTGATTAATACTTTTTTTTTTCAATCTTTCCTACGCCTAATCTGTCAGTGGATATTTCTAGACCCGTAGCCAGAACAGTTCATCATCGCGCAATACGCAAACCGCGCTCGTGACTGAGAGGGTGCTTCCAAACGTTTTTCGCAGACAATTTTTTTTTTTCGAAAACAAGGATTGGTTTTGTTTTTTTGGGCATAAAGCCAGCAAAATATATTTTTTTCGTCGAAATTAAAATGGTCACCGGACATGGTTGTTCGATCTTATCTGAAGACTGAAAACGCCCATAAGTTGAATTTTTGCCTGGGACTTGTTCGCATTTAAAGGGCAACTCCGCTTCATTTTTGATATTTAGAAAACTATGTAGCCCTCTTCAGTATCATATAGGAAGACCCCATGTCAAATATTACGATCTAATTCCGTTTATATATTTAATAAACCGGCCAGCAAACCTTCAAGCGAGCTAATGTGGCGATGCAGGCGAGTTGGTTTCAAGCGAGCCAAGTCGCCGAAATCTGCCAACTCTAGCGTGCGGCGCGAGGCGCACGCTAGAGTTGGCAGATTGTTTGTAGTGGCTCAACGTTGCCCGCTCCAACTCCGTCGCATTAGGGAGTTGTAGTAGATCGTTTTCCTCCTCCGCTACGGTATCCCCGAAGAAAACGCCGCAGCTGCGCCTGCGCGCCGTCAGCCTTCTCTGCATAGTTCAAGGTCTTGTCGCGGATTACGGAGCGCTATCCGGGTGCTTAGCGGGCTGCGGAAACGGTCTACTACAATTCCCTAATGCGACGGAGTTGGAGCGGCCAACGTTGAGCCACTACGTCAGAGGCATGATACGTCATTCTCACGTTTTTGCTTGTTTTTACTTCTCAGAGCGAAATTGAACGATGACGTCATGAGTTTCTCCTCCCGGTGTTGGCTGACCGGGCGCTCTCGTGATCACCGTAACACGCACGGATGCGCTAGTTTGCGCTGCCCTGCGCGCTTATCGGTCTGTTTCTCCGCTCCCCTTTTCCTCTTTCGTCTCCTCCCCTTCCCCCTCTCCCCCGGGCCATCACCGTCGACGCCATGCGAAGCGAAATGCCCGCATCCAATAAAAAAAAGGAAGACCTGCCCGCGTCGCGTGTCCCGCTTCTCGCTCCCTCCCAAACGTCACAGGACCACGTGATTCGACGTGAAGTGCCATGACTGACGACCAGAGACCAATGTTGCCTGACGCCACCGAAGTTTCGGTATCTGCCAACGTTACTAAAACACTCAGTTGGGAAACTCCCATAGAGACAGCCCTAAAAATATGGCCCCAATCTGTCTCCGAGCACCGAGCTAATGACGAACACAACGCCACCATTTCTCCCGCAGCGGCCACTCGAGAAACTGCACGTGACTTCTATTTTTGGCTTTGACAGGGGTGACCCCCGTCTCCCTGGCGGACGCGCCGCGTTGAACTACTGAAGTTAAAATGCACCTAGGGCGGGACGCGCTACCTGAAAGGCCCGCTGAGGCATGGTTTTATAAAAACAATATTAATTGTTCCGCAAAACCTTGCGAACTAAAGATGATAAAAACATCACGCGCCCATCATTTGGTACTAAACTCCAATAAATTTCATACAAAAAGAGTCTTTTCCGTTTGCTTTTACGCAAAAACAGGCTTTCAAAAAGCTCAAGGTGATTACAGTACAGACAAACGAAAAAGAGTGGCGCTGTTGTCGCATTTAGCTCGGTCTCGGTGGACGCCAGCGGCCCAGGTTTCGACGGCGAGTTTCCCAACTGAGTGTTTTAGTAACGTTGGTATCTGCTAGGATTACACAAATAATATTCCACATTTCGAGAATCCGAAGACGTAGAGTTGTTTAGTAGTTCTTTGTGAAGTGGAATCACATGGAAGCCTAAATTTTTCGGAATTGAGCGGAGTTGCCCTTTATGTCACTTCCTAACCAGGCAGGGGGCTGCCAAGCCTTTACCTTCAATGCAAATTTCTTGCCGATAGCAAAAACACCAAATCCGTGTGCTTCAAATACCTTTTCAGACACATCTAGCACATGCACCGACGCCCGTCAAAAAACGACACTAAAAATCATTAGAAAATTTTTCTTTATTGTACACCAGCTTCCGCTACTTGTAAAAACTGGAATGTGATTACAGCAGCAGAAGGAAACTTCTGTACCACCGTAAAGAGAAAGTACAGCCTTGCAACATTCGTCCCCCCAACCTTGTGCATCGAGGAAGTCAGAACGAACACGCTTGGTCAAAGGATAAGTATTTGGGATCACTGCTATTGCTATCTTTTTAATGGTAAGCAAAAAAAAAAAAAAAAGGATCATGGAGAGCAAACTAAGGTTACCGAGAACATTTATCTTATCTTACACACGGCCAAAAATTATATACACGGATTCGTTGCAACGCAGGAAAATAAATATAGCACGGGTATACACTAAGCGGGCAATACAATCACACTGATTACTTCTCTGCGTACATATCTAAAAGGCTGTCTCTTTAAAAGGCTGCATTTTGAACAATTCAATGCAAGCAAACTTGCAACTAAATGCACTTAAAGCAACGCATGCCACATTAATGTTACGATTCTAGCCACTAAGCAAAATAATTTCATCATAATCATGTTATGAACCTTGGAAATGCATTTAAATACCTAGTTTAACCGATCCAATAAAGTTCAATGTAGAATATGAAGAGTATTGGTTATCTAATCACAGTTCGCGACGGCGGTTCACAAGGTACCCCCCCGTGTGGCGAGACCAAAACGGAAATGTTGCCTGACACCAGCGATGATATGAGTTGTAGAGTCCAGATGTAAACTTGCGTAGCTATAAATATGAGCCCCCAGAGGGGGCAAAACTGAAATAGCAAGGCTAATTAATGTAGGCACACCAAGAGTGGAAAAGGGCTGCGTTACACACACGTTTACCAAGTACAATAAGAATTAAACATTCTTTTCTTTTCTTGATACAGATTCACAAACAGCGAGACTTTGAGCCACTAGAAAGTCGAAACTACTAGGTAACCTACGGCGGCAGTGCCGGTTGCCACGTACAAAAAACACGTATGAAAATAGACGGATGGATAATGAACCGTCATCACAGCACCTCCGGTGCAAACAGGTCATGGTATCACCTGGCGACACCGAACGAGACGGTGCAACGCGGCAGCGGTCAAGACCCCGATTCGCACCAACAAACCCGAAACGGCTCGTTTAAACTCCCACATGTGTCAGTTTAAAATGTTATATTATAATTAGAATGATGTAGAGACATCCTCACGACCCATGCGGGTGGTGAAAAGTCGTGTACAGATACTATCGCGAGTCGCGTTTTGAAGATCTTGATTTCGGCGCATCATCTATGACCTGAATGCATCTAGGAAATGTAGAATGCAGCTAGTTGGAGTTGCCGATCCCAGATGGAGTCTTCCGCTACACTTAACGCAGGTGGTGCCATCTGCGTGCAGCACCTCTAAGTCGCCATTCCCTGTACCACAGCTGTACGCTCCAAATTTCCGCTCGCAACTTTCACAAACGAGACTATTTACGCACGATGACAAAACCGGTAGAGCATGCCTTGTGGCAGTCGCAGACCAAAACACCGCTGTCACCTTTCTTTGGAGATTGCCGTAACAGAGCGACTTTCCGAACGGGACGTGCAACAGCATATTGCTTAAACCTTCAACGTGGCCAACTGGCTATTGAGCAGTCAGTTAGCAACAGTAATCGGCACGGGGCAGTATTTCGTTGAGCCTCATCAGTAAGTTGTGTTTTCTATTCGGGTATACACTTGGCTTCTAGTATAAATAATACTCGGTTACATATCTGAGCATGTGTGACTCAATTTCTATTGCAGGATTCGTATGTTAGTACTTTCATGGTCCTACTGATATGTTAGTTTGAAGGGTACGCAAGGTAGCCACGAAGCACAGCTACTGCAGTAGTTCCGGGCTGCATAACTCCTCGATATGAATGATTTACATTTTTTCGCACGATGGTAGATGTATAACTTTGGGATATGATATCGTAAGTGGCACAACCTTCCGTGTATCTAAGAACAAACACAGACAAAAGGTGGGGGGAATGTAGAAAATTCTCAAAAAACTGTAAAAGTTTCCGAACAACAATGAAGCCCCAAAATACTGCTCTTTGAAATGCCACTTTTCAGCATATACCATGGTAAACGAGCCCTCGGGAAAATCGAAACCCAAAAACGCAGCTGGGTAAATACACTCAGTTGCTTCCTGGGCTACGTTATACTTTGTGACCATTTTTTTTCCCACACCATTTCTAGAAGGCCGTACTGCCAAAACGTTAAAACCGCCCAATTGCAAAATCATAACCACCATGGTCCAGCGTAATGAAACAATGTCGCAGCACCATGTTGCCTCTCAGGCACGTAGCCATGGGGCCCGGGCCCCCTCCCCCGAAATCTTCCAATTTACTGGGGCCTCCTCTCCTCCTCACCCTCATACAGCATTTTGTCATGGGTGGCCCCAACCCTGCCCCCCCCCCCCCCCCCCCACAGCCCCCGAATCAGAATCCTGGCTACGTGCCCATCTCCTCGGCCTAGAGGCAAAATTCCATGCACCACAAATGTGTTCAACAAGCCCCTTAGAAGTTCTACTTTTTCTCCTACTTCCCTGAAATGCAATCAACTTGACAGCCATCACTGAAAAAAAAATGGTAACCCCCCTTCCCCTGAAAAAAGGAAAATAACAAACACCATGCACGAAATGAAAAAGCAGAGAGCTTAATTTTTTCGTGGAAGCTCAAAATGTGCGTCCGCCTTGCCTGTTCTCCTCGACGGCTGTAGCGTTCCTTCCCAGAAAAACCGGACCACGCACCAGTCTTAAATGTGGTCCAAGGACCAAGAGGGACATACGTGACCAAACGTGACGCACAGAAAAAAAGGGTCCAAATCACCCGAACCACCCCCAAGGTCACAAGGCCATCCCAAGATCACCTCAAGGTCGCCCCAAACCACCTTTGGCGCCGCAGAAACGAGCCGACCGGCTCCACCAGAGTTCCGCCGCCGCAGCCACTAACATGCCGGTCGTTAACCGAGTGGAAAATTGGAAGACTGTTCCTTTTGTCCTCTTCAGAAGTCTTCGGCGTCCCGGTAGCTGGGTTCGGTGGATACGAAATAGTCGTCGAAGAACCCGAAGAGGAACTCGAACGTGGGCCTCTTCTCCGGGTCGGCGTCCCAGCAGTTGAGCATGATCCCGTACACCGAGTCCGGGCACTCGCAGTTGGTCGGCTTGGGCATCCGATAGCCCCGGTCCACATACTCTATCACCTGCCGGTTCGGCATCGCTGGAAGACAAAGAAAGTGTTAGCGAGTGACTCGTCAATTCCCAAGTTGAACCGTCTTCAGAGCAACACCCGGTCAACGATAAAACCTTTCCAGTGGTGCTCTACGAAACAGCAAAGAGTGTCCTAAGCAAAGGCATACCTCGTGCGATTCGTCCCTATCGAGAGGAGCGGAAAAGATGCTGCCCTTACATTTTCCGTGAAATGAAAATAAATCGTGTTAGACCTGCCATTTTCGGTTTTGGCACGCACAGAGCATGTTTTCTTAAGACTGTAGCCACATTGAATTCTGACATGGATGAGTTGTGCGACGAGAGATAAAGAGCCAGCAGTGGGAGCAATTCTAGCCCTTACTGCCAAACCAAGTGATTTGGTATCTTCCCCCAAACCCAGCTACGCCAGAATTCAACATGGCGACTATCGTGCAAAAACAATATATAAATTACGGCAGAACTTCTCTATAGTAACGCAAGTTTTTTAGGAAAACTCTCCGCCACATTGGTACCTCCCTTGCATCAGTCCCTGAGATGCCCGTACAAGCATCCCTAACACATTTTTTGTTTTGTTTTGTTTTCTGGCTTCAGCCACAGAACACCAACATCGGAAAAACAAAATAAAAGCCGTGGCCAGGGGGCCCACTTGAGAGGGCAGACAGACCTGGGTAGGGGATCTGCCCGTGGGTGATGAGTTCGTAAAGCAAGATGCCGTAGGACCACACGTCGGACTTGATGGAGAACTTGCCGTACAGGGCTGCCTCGGGGGCCGTCCACTTGATGGGGAACTTGGCACCTGCGACACCGCACACACAAACGCACGTTGGGCAGTGGCCACAACAAGCAGTGGTGGCAGAGCAGACAGACCCTGCTATGGAACCAATGTTTTCTACATCAGGGGTTCTAAAACATCTCGATCTCGAGGAACGCCCACTTCTATCAATAGAGAGCCAAGGAACCCTTCCTGGTCTACACGTCGATGCAGCAAAAACAGTGCAGACGCCTATAGACCTCGTAAACAGTAATGCACATACTAGGAAACGTTTCACACATAGCATACTTGTGCTTTAATAGATGGCTCGGGTCTTCTACGATACTGCTCAAAATGGAAGAAAGGTTTACCGTAAAATATTGGAGGAGCGCCCACTCCACTTACACTGAAAATTGAGTTGATCTAGACATGGGTGCTTGTCCGGTCAAATCGCGCACTTAACGTATGATTTGCAGAATTCCCAAGTTTGGGAAATGTTAATAGTGGGCTCTTGAACAAAGTGGGCGCTTTTGGGGTATTTTACGGCACTCAGGGGTAAAGATAGCCTAGGAAACTTGAGTGCTGGAGGAAGGCCCAGGGTACCCTAGAAAACTCCTGGGTTCCTAAGAACTCAGTTTTTGAAAACCCATGTCCTGGATAACAAGGTTGTAGTGCTGGGTTTTCTATGCCATCTACTAGATGCCAGCACAGCGCGCGGATTAGACACGATTGCTGCGTCGGCGTTCGGCCGGTCCTCGCATCCAGTCGCTGAGAATGCGAGCCCCAGCCGAACGCTGTAAAAGAAAAAAAGAAGTAGCAAACCGACAGATGACAAACGAAGAGGAAACAAACCAGCAGACAGAAAAAGGCAACAAACCGGCAGACGATGCACGAAGAGACAGCACACTATGGTCGGCGACATGTTAATAATGAAGTGGAAGCTCCTCCCACCTCTTTCCACTTTAGCAGAGAGAACGCTGGTGAGGAGGCGACCTCCTCTCCAGCGTCCGCTCTGCTGATGTCGAAAGAGATGGGGTAGACCTTCCCCTGAACTCGTAACCTGTCACCGACTACAGTAGACTCTCATTAATACAAACTCCACAAACTCCAGGAAGCCAAAGACTTGGTATGAAATATCAGAAATTCATCTAAATATGACGAGAGGCAGAGTAGCCATTTGCTATAGGAATAGCTACACATAACCAAGCAGATTTTCTACACTTTCCTCTACACAGGCCTATTTATGAGCAGGCACAAATATAACATATTGCTGAAGTTCGAAGCGAATAGTGGTTTGGGCAGAATATTTTCTAATCAAATATCAAATAGTTTCTCCAAGCCTTTTCCCACCGTTGTGCCATGCTTAAAAGAAAATTCAGCTGGGGCTGCGATTGGTCAGCGCTGCGCCGCTGACCAATCGCAGCAGACGGCACTGTCCCGGTCCCTTGGCCCCCCCTTGGACCTGCCGCGTAGCATGGGGCCCCTCAACTCGTGAAGGTTGTCTCCAACCTTCCACTTGTCCACTTCTAAGCTCAGTTAGTTTTACTATTTGCTCTTTCTCGCACGACTTGAAATGTGGTGGCGTAAGTGTGCAAACAGCACCCAACCACTTCCAGTTCAGAACTAGACAACAAGCTTCACAGTATTTACAAAATCAAATAAACATGCTATCTTCTGGAAATGGCCACTAATAGCACTGTCAGACTTAATTCACTCTTAGGATAAAAGAATGATGAGTAAACAAATTAGAAAATATATGTGAACTGGAAGTGTGTCAAGACTACCCACCGAGTTTGTTGCATAAACAAAAAAGGGTGAATAACTATACGACCCGTGGCCTCAGAAAGTCCAATGCCTATGTCGAGTTGGCATGTAAATTACAGATTTTACACAAAATTAGACCGAAAGAGACGCCCAGCTATCCTAATCGAGGAAATTTGTAAATCTGCTTGCTATATGCAAATCCTTGTCTTAAATTGCGAATTTAACCTCCTCAAAAAAAATGTATAAAACAAGCATGAATAATGAAAGCAGATTGTAAGGACAGTTCTGCTTGCATAATCGGGGTGGGTTAGTTCTATCGAGCACACTTCTCGTGGAGCACCCGCATACTGCGGAAAAGCAAAGACCACAAGCTTTATGGGTATTGCTTTCCTGCAGTAGACAGGTGCTCGGTGAGAAGCACACTCAACGAGGTCAACGCTCCGCTATGAACAAATAGTATAAATTAAGCAAAAACGCTGTTTGCTTTAAGCAGCTTCTAAATGCATTGAAAAAAATACCAGGACAACCAAAATTTTTTTAATTAGTTCAAATTAACCAAAAGTACTAAATATCTGAGTTCGAATTATTGGGAGTCCACTGCACAGCAGACGATGGACAAAGAGGAAACAAACCGGAAAACAACCAAACGAGAGACAACAAACACGAGCGGGAAACAGACCAAGGCAGCACCCACCTTGCCTTGCGGTGTACTCGGAGTCTTCGATGATCCTTGCGAGTCCAAAGTCTGCCACCTTGACGACATTGTTCTCGCCGACCAGGATGTTGCGGGCAGCCAGGTCCCGGTGTATGAGCTGCTTGCTCTCCAGGTAGGCCATGCCGCTGGCAATCTGGGCGGCCATGTCGATGAGGGCGGGCAGCTTGAGGGCCCGGCCGTCCTTGTTGCGCAGGTGCTCCAGCAGCGAGCCGTGGGCCATGTACTCCGTCACAATGTAGATGGGCTCCTCCTTGGAGCAGACGGCATACAGGGACACCAACTTCTCGTGCCGGAATTTCTTCATAATGGCCGCCTCCTGGAGGAAGGCCCCAGGGTCCATCGTGCCGGGCTTCAGCGTCTTGATGGCCACCTCCGTGCTGCCCTTCCACAATCCTGAGACGAGAAAAAAACAAAAAACAATTAAGCGAGAATTTAGCCATTTGGGTAAGTCTACCGAGACAAAAAAAAACAAAGGACCCATTGGTAGCCTCCACTGCGCAGTCTCTCGAGCTACACGTGCAATGCAACAAGTTTAGTCCTACGAACGTATCACCTACAATTTCAGGTCAAATAAGGAAGGCAGTGAATCTAGTCATTTGTGCAGAACTGTCAGAAAGCAGAAGAAAGCAACAACTCTTTAGTACCGTTCATTGGCTAACTTCTAAGCAACGACTCTTTAGTACCGTTCATTGGCTAATTTCTTGCGCTAAACATGCGTCACACCACATTTCAGTCCTACGAACACGTTGTGTGCAGTCGCTATTTCTAATGGCGGCTGTGCCTTCTGAGACATTCGGCCGCCAGCATTCCTCGGGCACTCGCAACCGGATCACCTAAAATAATATTGCTGCAACCCGTAGACCTCATATCATACCCTCAACTTCGACGAAGTCAGAAGTGTGGAGGGACATACCCCCAGTAATGACCAAAACCAAGAGACACCATTGAACGAAAGGGAGAACAGATTTGGCGCCAAAAGCTTTCGGTCATCGTTGGTGCGTGTCCCTCCACACTTCTGGTTTCACCTCTGGCGGCATCTAATCACCTCCAGAAGCTTCCTACCTCCATGCCGTAAAGTTTACGACTCGAAAACCACACATTCGGAGTTGGGACTGTCCCGCCCAGACAAAAACGGCAAGGGAGCCAGTTGCGACGGAGAGAAGGCGCAAACATACTCACCGTACCAGACCTCGCCAAAGTTCCCACTGCCCAGCTTGCGTATGAGCTGCACAGAGCTGCGGGGTATCTCCCACTCGTCCCGTGTCTCTGGCGACAGGTCCCAGACGACCGGCTTGGGCTTGGGGCAGGCAATGGTCAGCTTGTGGCACAAGCCATTTGCACCTTCTGCACACAGGGCCGTAGACAGAGACAGAGTGTTACGGGCCTACGTTAAGATGCGACTGGTTTTGGACTAAACGAACAGGTAAAAAAATTACCCAAATTGATTAGCTCCTGCAGCAAGACCTCCTAGCAACCCAAGGGTCTAACAGAGAGCACAGGGGTGCCCTGTGGGTGAAGCACCAAGGTTCTGGAATACGCTCGCTCTACTTTCCCCCATCATGCCAAAAATTAAGAAAATATATATGGATATATATATTTTTTTTTTTTTAATTAAGGAAATTAGATTTGATTTAAATCAGATGAATTTGATTTAAATTACTGTAGCTAGAAAATAGTGATTTTTTTATCACTACAGGGTGTCACAAAAATAATTTACACGGTCTTTTTTACCGCAAAAATAAACTAGGCATCGCCGAACACTCATTCTCCGCCCAAAGGTAGAGCTAGAGGTCACAACCAGATGCCAAAGTTTCAGCCCGATCCGATAACTTAATCAAAAGTTATAAATGATTTTCTGAAAATTTGAATTGGAAAATGGCGGCCGACGGAGTTTTCGAATGCATGGGGCTCTATGGCACCAGAAACCGAAAACAGGCAAAATTGGGCTCCATTTTCCCATTGAAATTTTCAGAAAATCACTTTTAACTTTTGATTAAATCGGATCGGGCTGAAACTTTGGCACCTGGTTGTGACCTCTAGCTCTACCTTTGGGTAGAGAATGAGCTTTCGGCGATGCCTAGTTTATTTTTGCGATAAAAAAGACCATGTAAATTTTCATTTGTGACAGCCTGTACATGTATTTCTAAACATGGCAGATTAATTGATCAATTCATCCAATCACTAATACCAATGTGCAAGAAAGAATTAGTGTAAAGTTAAAATAGATTTTTTTTTTGTATGTAAACCAGTCAAACTAGCACAAAAACCGCTCAAATGTTTTTTTAGTTAAAAAATAGCTTTATTTGCTTTCCTTTCAAGTTCTATTGTATAAGACCTTATTTTTCTAGTTATTGTTTCTCTCATGTTTTGATTTGCTTGCATGCAATAGGACGTTACGTATAACTGACGACCAAAGCGGAAGGTAGAAAGAAAGCTCGATGCTCAGATTTGCTCGGAAGAGAACTACTTTCTGCCCATGTTGAGCCCGATACAAATCCATTTTGCTCGATGATCGTTTCGATTTCAGCACAAAACAAATGCCCACGGAAAGCACCAAATCACAGACAAATGGCAGATATAAACCACTTTCGAGAATGTGTTTGCGGGAAAGATTCGACTTAAACCATCGTAGTCAAACTGGTCCGATATAAATCGCAATTTAAATCATCTCGACTTTTATTCCCCACCCTGATCAGGCCGTAGGGCCGCACGAGCGGTTCGACAGCAGTGTATCGCGTCATGTCTGGGAGAGGCAGCCATCATTTCTGCCCACTCTCGCCACTCTGCCCCCATTTGTGGGACGCACGGAACTTCCCTCTGGCAAATGTAGCCTCCCGAGTCCGAGGCTGAAGCCTCGGACTACGGAGTCGGAGCCCACTGTTCCATGGGACTGTTGCTTGGGACACGAAACTGTTCAGACGTGCGGCCGAGCATTCTGCCGACCACGTCCGACCAGGCTCTCGGGGGAAGCGCAACAAGGTAAGCTCTGTTCACCCTTGCCACTAGTATCATTTTAATGCGTGTAATAGAGCAACCTAGTATTAGTGGGGTTAAATGTGCTTAATTCGGGTGCCTAACAGATGTGGAAAAACTTTCTCGAGTTCTGCCCGAACGTGCGCAAGTAGAACCCAAAAGTATCACCAATGTCGTGTTTAGGCTAGTAGCCTTGTCGCCCAGTGGACCTCATATTACGGGTCTGTCCCGGGATCAATGGTGTAAACTGTCGCCTGGGAAAGTTCCCCCCTCCACTCACCCATGTAATAGGACACGAGTTCTTGGAGGGTGGCAAAGGTCTTCTTGGTGGTGACGAAGAAGCCGCCGTTGTCCATGGCCTTCACCTTGTAGTGCTTCACGTGCTCCCCCTTGGTCGGCTCAAAGTCGCGGATGGAGAGCGAGAAGGCACCTGCAAGGGCACACGTCGCGGGCGGCAGGGTCAGAGGTACATTGGCCAGCTGGCGGCACAGTTACTAACTGCAACTTTCGCATGTTCCTGGTCGTACCACGTCGGTTAAGCTGACAGCCTTCTGCGACAAAATTGGCTCCCGTACAGTCACTTTCATGGCAGTTCACGATCAAGCGAATGGTAACAGTGTGTTAAGTACACAAATGCTTGCGGCTTTCCTTTTCGGTAGTTGCATGCCGATGACATTGAAGTGCACCTAATCCTTGTTGGTTTGCATGTGCCTTGCACCAGCGTTAAGTGTGAGCATTTCGTTGTTCACTTCTTGGGTGTAAAATGTGTATCCCTTCCATTTTGGATCAAGACAAAAAAAATCATAATTTGCGATGGTGAAAAGCAGGGCATGCCCCTCCGACAGACCCCTCCAATCTTTCTGCTTCAGCAGAGTAAACACTGGAGAGGAGGACACCACCGATCACGGACAACAGAGAGCTTTGTGGGAGGGACTAGCCCTACTCTTGTTAAGGACTACTCAGGAAGGTGAAGTTTTAAACCGTTATCCTTATTTGTATGAAACTTGCAGGAACAATAATCATAGCCGGGAAAAAGGATGACATGCGAGGTTTTAAATATGAACACTGTGCCCACCTGAGGAAAACTATCCTTTAGAAAAGGTAGTAATAATGACCTATTCTTTTGGTGAAACGTACAGTATTCCTAATACCCGTGTCACCCAACTATGGAAAGAAATTACAAAAATTATACCATTTTTAATCAAAAATAAAAATTTGAAAAAAAGCTTTTATTTTTTTTGCATTTTTGGGGTGACGATACTGCAACTTTTCATTAAAAAAAAGTACCATAGAAGTGCAGGAAGTAAGATAGCAGCCACGTTTCTTACAAAATGTAAGTGCGGAAACTTTAAAAACCGGCTTCATACGTCAATTCATTATCAAATGATAGATCTCCTGAAACGAGATTTGATGCCGAAAAGTGAAACTGAGATAAACATGTTTTGAAGATGCAGAGAGCTGCACTTAGACGGACGGTGCCGGCATGTCAAAAAACAATAAAAATATTTTAGTTACAGGAGTGAAACTTTCCGACTGACTCCATCAGGATACTTGCAAGCTGATAAAATGACTTCTTCAAACAGTGACGTTTTTAAAAAAAATTCAATTTTAAAAGATAGTGTCCTGCTTTAACCCATAACAGGTTTTGATAATGTTAATAAATAAGTAGACACTAAACAAAAAAGAGCAGAAACAATTGTCTAAAAGAGAGAGGCATTTGCCCCCTGACAACGTTTTCACACATTTCAAGAGTTCTCCGGCGTGTTTTCGAGGTAGCCAATGATCTGGGTGAAAAGAAAAACTGATACGGTCATTCATTATTCCCGAGTTTCGCTCAAAGTGGGACCGTACCTGTCGTCTGCTCGCTGTTCCGTATGAGGAAGGTGCCCCGGGGATTCGAGGCCAGGAGGAGCATCTTCTCCGCGTCCTTTCTCGACACCTTGCCGAAGAACCAGCTGCGCGACGAAACGCACGCTCCGGTTCGAAACGGTGCAGAGAATGCAAGAGCGCAACTTTCTCCTTGCGCTGTACTGCAGCGAAGGCTAGAAGCGCGAGCTCGTGGCGTCGGCAGGTGCTCTTAATGCACGAGACATTGCGCCACCGAGATGTGCCCCAGAGCAAGAAGCCCGTGCTTGTATGCCTTGCTGCGGAACATCGTAAGGGGAAATAGAACACATGTCCAGGTGTATAGGTTCAATGACAGAACGAAAACGGCAGGGTGTGTGTCTTCAGAAATAAACGGCTTCTGGCCCATGCTCAGTGCGTCTCGCCATGCTTTGGCTGCAAGAGCATGCTCAAGGTGCACGAGATGTCGAAGAGTGGTCGAAGGCTGGAAGCTTGCGCGACGACCAATGCATCTTCCTGCCGTCCTCACCTTCTCCGCAAATATAGTTTGCATGCCAGTCACTGAGAAGGCATAACTGAAGGATCGCCTTTTTCAGTGATCCTTACAACCAGATTTTACAGAATGTATAACCCAGGAAATAAAGACCTATCGATGACCAGAAAACCACATACATGGCCTCGAGCTAGCTTGCTGCTGCTGCTGCTGTCTTACATCAAATTATAAGGCTTTTTTTTAATTTTTAATGTACAATTTTATTTGACATGAAAATATGCATAGGACTTTCTGACCCTGCCTTTCTGTGCACTATTTTTTTTTTATTGTATTCACATGGAAATGAGCTGGCCCACAAAAGCAAAAATGCTTGTATGTGGAACCAGGCAGCCAACAAAACTCTATACATCATTACACAATACTGTAAGTAAAAAAGAATATGAGTAAAACAAATCATGATATAAAAGAATGACTATACTAAAGTAACCTAATAATTAGTGTGAGAATATACGACACTTTTTGGGTATATTCTTTTTGACTCCTTCAATGGATAACAAATTAAACAGACTCTGGTAAAACATATAATAAGGAAAGTACATAGTGTAGTTGATTGTTTTCACCGTAATTAGTTAACATCTTAGGAATTATTAACCTTTCTGTACACTGCCGGTCTCTCTGCTTTACTTCAAATTAAAAAATTATTTCTATAGTAGTTGTTAGTTAATGTTACTAATAAAATTGAATGATAGTGTATCTAGAGCAATCATCTCTCTTTCAAGTTCCAAGCCTCAAGGTTTGTGCAGGTAGAGGTATGCAGCAACACAAAAAGTGCCGTCGCACTCAAAACACGAACACAAGCGCATTAGTGTGCACCAAAACGGCGACACCGACGAACAAGGCGCAAACTCACTCCTCGCTCTCCACGGTCTTCTCAAAGGCCACATAGTTGCGTGGAATGTAGCCCGTCTGTTGGCCGTTGACCTGCTTTGCGTGCCACCAGTCGGGGTCGCTGCAAAGGTACAAATTGAAGTGCCGTGAGAACAGACAAACAAGAGGGGTCTCATCAACCTTCAACACCGTACAGAAACCAGAGACCAAAGAAACGCGGGAAAGAAACAAAGCACGCAAGATTGCGCGTGGAACACCCAAAAGGTGTTCCGACACCCTTGAGTGTTCAACATCCTCGAGCATTGGGCACCCTCGAGTTTTCGACAGCCCCAAGCATTAAACGCAACTTGGCAAGAGTGTCAACACTCTTCGGACACCTTCGGTTGTTTTAGTCCCTCTAAAACTCCTCAAATTAACCGAGTGAGTATGAAAGAAACAAGGTAGAATGTACAACGTACTTTGCCTTCCAGCCCGGCCCTGGTCCGACATATAAGTCAAGGATGCTTGCTTGCTCTTTTTGTTTTTGTCTCGTTTCGTTTCTCAAGCAGAAAAAATGCTATACGCCACTTCTCGTGACCATTCTTTGCCCTGCTGCTTCCCTTTCTCATCTGCTTAGTTGTGTTAAGAGAAAAAGGCAGATGGGAAAGAAAAAAAGTTGGCTCCTGTAACCAAGCAAGTTTATTCCGATTATGAGCTTATTCACTAAGACACGACACAATGAAAGGATTTTGGGAACCTGAAAATAACTGAACTCCCAAATACGCAGAAATTTCTTCATAAAGGGAACCTGCAGGGTAATGCAACTTCCCAATGCCGAGTTTTTGCAGCCGTGTGTACAAACATACCAACCCTTTAATAACAATGAAGCTTGTTCCCAGAAGCTGGCTACAGGCAATTCAGAAAGGGAGGCACAGGCCACAGACCCCTCACCTGTCGTTCAGTATCTGAAGCCTGTCCCCCTTCCTGAAGCTGAGATCTCCGTCGTCCCTTGCATTGTAGGTGTAAAGGGCCACTACCATTTTGCCTGCACAGGGAGTTAGAAAGTGATGTGCACAATCAACTACAACATCCAAGCACTGTTACTATTTCCATCAAAGACCACATTGGTATGAACAGCCTTCTGGACATGTGTGCTGCAGAAAGTACATAATAAAGGCTGGTTCGGCCATCCGCGTTTTGAGTATGACCGACTGCGTGCTGCTGCATACTACCATGGCAACCGAGGACCGTGTAATGCGTCACAATGGAACATAACAGTCACATGGTACAACGGTCACTAAAAATGTTGGAATCAGCTACTTTAACGAAATTCCCTGAACTGTCGCGATGTTTCGGCCAAGTTCCAAAAACCTTCCCAAAGCTTAATGAAGATTTTAATAAAGAGAAAACTTCAGGAGTGGTCACGAGAGCACTGTTACGACTACCATGTCTGACCCTGTCATGTTTACCCTTTTACAGCTCCCGCTGGCTTGCCGTTTCTTCGGCCGCTTTTCCCCTTCAAGTACCGTCAACAATACCGCAGATCGCTGCGCAACCATCTAATCTCCACTAAGACATCAACAGGTGCCGTCTCTACCAGCACCAGTCCTGTCAAGCTATCTGCCATCCCGCAGCGTCACACATCCTGGAGCGGATGAATTGTCACCAGGCTGCGCTCGGTATATAACTACAACTTCTGTCGCAGGGACGTCAGTAGGCGTAAGAGCTCTGTTATGACCACCCCGCCTGACCCTGCCATGTTGTTCACCCTTTTACAGCTTCGTAAATGCTATTCCTTGCATTATAAGAATTCTAACAACCTGTGTCCTGTAGTGCTCCCATGCCCCAGAGTGCTTTATTGCATAATGCGTGTTTCAACTATTGTAATTCATGCTTTGTTACTACCATCTGGTGACGTTGAGTAAAATCCAGGCCCCGATGAGGAACCTCAATTAAAGGACTTGCTAATACCTCTACAAAAACTCTATGCTATTTCTTCCATACTTGAGCAAGGTCAGAAAGCAATCAAGTTCAACATTAAAACTCTCCTTGATAAACAAACCCAGCTAGAAAGCTGCTTCTCTGCCATGAACCAGATAATTGCAGCGATTGAAACAGCTTCAATCACTTTCCGAGACAAAGGCCGAGGTGTGTAGAATAAGAAAGGCATTTACGGAATAGGCCACAGTAACTGCCTCATTGGCGTATAGAGGTGACGAAGAGTGCTTAAATTCATGGAAGAGTGTCTTGATATAACCTTAGCAAGTTCTGATATTGAGCGAGCACATAGAATTGGTACATTTAAAAGGGAAGAAATCGGCCTATTGTAAGTTTCTTTTTCTCTTTCAAGACTAAAAACCAGTTAGTTCCTCCAGAGTAGTTTTTGCCTCAAGAGAAGTTGCGTACCGTCCTCCTGGCGCTTCACCTGGTTTTAATAATCTTCTTCGTGATGACTTGTCCATGCTGGCAGTGCATCACACTGGTAAACCTATTTTTCTTTTTGGTGATTTTAACCTACCAGGCATAGACTGGAAAACATTGGCTGCCACTCGTTTGGGCGGCACGATTAGCAGCAATTTCGTAGACCTGTGTTTTTCTTTCCATCTAACCCAGTTATTTCTTTCCCTACCAGAGTCACCAACATTAGCTCTAATGCTCTTGACTTGGAACATAAACTACTGACCCATCTTTAATTAATTCTTTGTCTTCTCTAAATGGCATAAGCAACCACAAAGCACTTCATTGCTTTATTGATATTAGGCCACCAAAACCAGTGCACATTACTATGACATTACAATGCAGCGGTTCTCAAAACTAGTCCGTTGACCCCCGGGGGGTCAGGAGCAACATGGGTGGGGGTCCACACTGAATTGAGGATCACTCCTCAGAGGACAGGTAAGGGGGTCTGCTAATAACCGATCAGACAGCTGGGAGGTTCCGGAGCAATGTAAATTTTAAGAATCGCCGTTCTAGGCGTCCCCTGCCGTACACAGAGAGGAAACGATTACTGCTACAATGGGAACCAATGGGCAGCAGATGATCCAACGATCCCTGCTGGAGAAAGAGAAAAGTGCCCTCCTTTACAAATGGCCTCTAAGATAGTCGGGAGGTCAGTTGAAAGCGACACAAAGTTTGAAAAGTGCCACTCTAAGCACTCCCTGTCACATGCCAAACGGGAACACTCCCCACTTATGACAAGAGCGGACAGGGAACAGGTGCCCCAACAATTCTCGGCAGGAACACGGAAAGAAAGACAAGAGTCCCCGCTCACCCGATCCGGAACCGGGGGGCCCCGGCCTGACGGCGAGTACTTCGTGGTGGGGCCCGTTGGCCGGGGGCGGGGCCTGTGCCCCTCCTCCCGTGGGGGCCTTGGTGTAGCGCGTGTCCAGGGGCTGCCGCAGGCCCCCGTTGCTGTGGTCCCCCCCCGCCCTGGGCGGGGCCCCCCGCACCCCCGTGGTGGTGGTGGTGGTGGTCGTGCCCGGCCTTGTCCCCCCCGTCGTCCCCCCTGGCGGCCCCCTCGGGCGACCCCTGAGACAGGCAGTTCAGGTTGCCCATGGCTTCCCCCCGCCCTCGCCGCCTCAGCTGGTGCCGCTGCTGCAAAGCGAAACGGAGCAGAAATGTCTGTCAAAGCAAACCCAGCTACGAGGAAGTTTCACGAAACGCAGCTTTGCGAAACGAGTTTCCACTTTCAGTGAGCCGTGTGCGGCCAAGTTTATGAGCAGCTTCTGCCATCTTCCCCGTTGGTTTGCACGTAGAAGATTCTGCATTAGCGTCACGCTCAGTGTTGGTAAGTCCCAGAACCACAACAAGCCGCTCCGCTGACAACAAAACTCAAGACGGGGACGTCTTTAGGCAGCACAAACTTACGCTTACATCGCCTTTTTTTTCCTTCGGAGTCACTCCGGCAGCGTCTGCCAGGGCCGTTTCCGTCGCCGACGAGCCGACTTCCCGAGCGTCTGCTCATCCTAACTTCGAAGAAAGGCCATTACGTCTAAGAACTGAGCACCAACCGACGCCTCCTTTATGGCGCCAACTACTCCGGCAGGCGCAGTCCATCACGGTGCAAGGAAATTCGGGCACATTGGAAAACACTGCCTTCTCATAAAAGATTGCAAAGGGCAGAGTATCTCAGCATGATCTCTGGTGAGATTTTAAGCCGGAAATATGTGTCCTGAAATCACGCTACACGGTGGATATGTTTATCCGTTCCTTTCAAAGTGGTACAGTGATATCACGGTGCCAAGTTCCGATTGAAGGACGTAGTGGGTAAACATCAAAGCGGAAATGTTTGTGTCTACCCACTGCATCCTCCAATCAGAGCAAGCAAGTTCGTCTGCTTCTTGCGAAGAGGGTGAAGTGGCGTCAGCCATTGGGGCGCCGTGCTTTGGTGTCGTCTGCTTGTCATAGCAATGGTTACCTTTCCTTTCCTATGGCTTTTGGGAGTCTACCGGCTTTTTATGAAAGACAACTTGGCCTTTGAGAAAGGGGTAATGAAATAGGATGAAGGGTAGGTTGTTTTTACAGGCAACGACCAAATGAGCTACAAGAAATGAAGAGCTCATGGCTGAGATGTTGTTTGCTGCCCAACGAAGAGAATAACGTCTGCTAGGGCGGTAATTTGTCGCACCCATGGTTACTCCCTCTCAGTTTTTTGTGCCTCCTTTCTCATGCGTGGAGAGATTCCTTGCTTTTAGGCTCCTCCCATATTACACGCGAAGGGACGCATGGTCAACTTGCTTGCCGTATACTCACTCTCCTAAAATGAAAGACCGCCTCAGTGGCACTAGTGGTTTATTTCAGCGTCCGGAGCACAAAGCATGGGGTTCGAACCGCGGGTGGTCTCTTCCCCGAGGAGTCTTTGAGAATTCCTCATAGCCAAGGTTGCCTTACGACTTAAAGGCCCAATATTTCCTTTACCTCAAGAAAAAAAAGAGAAGCTAGTTTTGATCATTGTTTATACACTACACAAAGGAGTTCCTACAGGAATTGTTTGTAAACCGTTCGGGCACAAACATATTTCAAATAGCACTGCTCTGCAGTCAACAGACTGACATTCTATGTTTTTGCTTCATAAAAGTGAGGACGGAAAACGAAAACTCTCTACTTAAATTCCTAAATTATTCAATGGGCCATTTTCGTAAGTCGCCGGCTGGTCCATCAGGGTCTGGTGTGACGATGTGCGAGCACGTGCTCAAAGGAGCGCTCCCTAGAGTAATGAAGCTAGATCCTGCTGGCTTCTTGGGTTGCAGTGACTGGGCTCCCCAAAAGTCCTTTTTTGTGCCTATTGTGGCTTTTTTTTCTTTTTTTGCCCCCAAGCTCGTTTTAGGATGTTTATTCCCTCTCCTTCCTAATGTGTACATTAGCTTTGTTAGAATCATCTGGTGGGCTAATTGGCTATACATCTTGGTAAAATTAGCGCAAAGACAAGGGAGAAGAGACAGGAAAGAGTGTGTCCGTGGATGTACCAACTGGAGGGGCAAGGGGGGCACTTGCCCCCCCAGCTTTCAGAGTGAGGGGACAAGGCATGTGTTTTGCTCCCCTCCCCCCCCCCCCCCCCCCCCCCCCCCCAGAAACAGCTGCCACTGGACAGGGCAAACATTGGCTGGCGGCACCCAAGGGATACCAAAGGCACCGCCCCCCCGGCCTGGGGGGGGGGGGGGGGGGGTCTGGTTTGTCCCCCCTTCTCAAAACCAAGTTGGTACGCCACTGTGAGTGTCTTTCTCTTTTAAATGTCAGTACTACTTCTTTGTCTTTCTCTCCCAGTATTAAACGTCAGCTGTAAGTAGCGCACTCTTTCCTGTCTCTATGCTCTTCCTCCCTTGTCTTTACGCTAATTTTACCAAGTAGCTTTGTAAGAGTTATCTGCACCTCCTGCACCAGTGTAGAAAAGTGTAGGGCAGCATACTTCCGGCATGTGTATCGAGATACGACCAGAAATACACTGCCCTACACCTTAGTGCAGTGGTGCAGGAGGTGGAGATAACTCTAACAAAGCTATCGTTGCACACTAGGAATTCAATCCTCCACCCCGTTTTCCACCAAGTGGCACAAGTTCTTTCTAAGATGGCAGGTTCCCAGTTTTAAGTGAACCCACCGAAAAATAAAACTCTTAGTCCTTAAAACTTTTATGACGCAAAGTATCTTGAATGCCACTTACTCCTTTTACAGCAAAAAAAAATTGAAAGAAAACACAATATTCATTACAAACTTATGAGACTTGAAAATTTCCCATAAAGAATGCACTAAATGCACTGAGAACTTCTCTGTTTTTACTCTGGCAAGTTTATACTCAGAATAAACTCCTCATGTGTAAAAGCATAAAACTGGTAGCAGCAGGTTCGCTGTACAAACACTGACTTGAAAAACAAAACAAAAAAACAGATACGAGACTTGAGTTTCTTTTTATCTCTCAACCACCCTTCTTGTAATATTAAAACATTGTTGAATGAACCAAGGGGTTGCCTCATGTCTATAAATAATTAGCTCAGTTGAACTCACAAGGCACGAAACACTGTGTGACTTATTACAAGCCTCAGAAGTAACCAAATAGAAAAAAACCCTGCAGCCAGTGACCACATGAGAACAGTATACATTACATAAGGGTTCTGCAACACCCCGATGAGATAACGCCACAAATGCCAATTAATGAGGCGACAAAAACTGAAGCAAACTAAACATTTAATGGGGCTAACTTGTGCACCAAACGAAATAGAAAAAGGCTAGCTTGGCAGGCGTCGATGGCAGCGTAACAGCAAGATCGAGCGGTGGGGCAAGACTGATTACGGCTTGCCACGCGGAGCCCCTTAGGTACAAGTGTGGGTTTCTGGAACAATTGGCGTAGAAGGTTCGGTGCTTGTTCAAGGTCTGACATTGAACAAGCAACAAGGTTCTCAAATTTACCAGAATGCAACATTTACAGAAATAATTCAAAACGGTATGCTCGCTCCCAAGAATCGAACTGCGGCCCTTTGCGTGGGTGCCAAGTACGATAACCATTTGGCCAAGCAGGCGCTTGCACGGAGAAGCGCATCAATTATCGCATGAGAGAGAGAAGGATTATCTTATTCTCCATAGCCAGGCTCTGCTTCCTGGTCCATTTCACAAAACGTTCTTAGAACTCAAGAGAGCTCCCATCTGCAATATGAATTGCAGGTGCTTGTTTAGTTCACTTCCCAGGACGATTCATCGACACAGCGTACCATTGCAAGGGTTTGCCAGAAAGCAAACAAAATAAAGAGCACCAATAAACCAATGGGCTGCTGAAATCAGTCGTTTATTTTATAGTTCAACTTCCCACATAAAGTGCTGCACGGCGCAAACAACATCCCTTTACCACTGATAGGTTATCGCGGACCCACGAACAGACAAAACAAGTAAGGGCCGGAAAGTCAACGGGGGCAAGGACTTGGTGACTCAGAGCGGTGTTCTCAATGTTGCTATAGTGCTATCCTATCATATTACCTAAAAGAGAGTGAGGACTTGTGATTTGTCAGGTATGCCAAATGAGCTTTGAAAACTCCTTCGCTCTTGAGACAGATAACAATAAAAAAAAAAGTCAGGAGCACCTTATCTGCCCTTCTCTACAGAGTTATCTTATCCACAACCCCTGCCACAAACCTTAACAAAGGGGTGGAAAAGAGACGTCTGGTCTGCTGTTGTCGCTGTCGATAGTCTGCAAAACTAAATTTTTCAGGCCTAAACGTTTCAAAGCATATCTAAGCCCAGAGCCGACAACAGAACTGTAGTTTGCATCCCATGGAGATATAGACCTCTCTAGCCTCGATTCCTACAATATGAGACTGCTTTTCCGAAACAGATTTTAAATAAAACATAATTACACCTTGTGCCAAAATGTTGAGAAATCATCAGGAATTCACGGTCGCAACTGGCCCACTCGCACAAATGCAAATGAACATGCCACCCGATTGTTCAAGCAATCTGTATTGCAGTTAAAAGAGATTCTTTCCGTAAAAATGTTTTAGCAATAATTCTTCAAAAATGTCTTAGCAAAAAGTCTTCATACCGACTTCAAGCATCTATTTTAGCATCATCAATTTTAAAAAACCTTGCTCAAAATCTTACTGATTTAAGCTGGTCTCATTGAAAGTGTGGGGCAGACGCCCTCAATAAATGGAACTCGCAGAATACGGACAGAGGGTTCGTACACAACAGACACACGAATGTGGTGTTTCTATTCAAGGTGCTACTGGTGAGAGTAGCCTACTATACCTGTTTTCACCTCAAGAAAAAAGCAAGTTTTGCGCATTGTTCATACGCGGCGCGAAGTAGTTCTTACGAGATTTGGTTATCGAAGAAAAAAGCTATGCTTTTGGCGTTTGCAATGTGTACGTGTTGATAAGATAACATATATATCAGGGGTCGTGCGGCCCGCGACTCGCTGGGATGCGGACCGCAAGCAACCGGCTACGGGTCCTGGTTCCCATGTCTTGATCACTAGAAATGACATGTGCCATATTGATCTCATCTTGCCCATTCATTTCCGCTCGAAAAGTATAACTCTGCTCATTTACATGTTCACATAGTCTAGTGCTTCTCAACCACTGATGTTTGCGGACCCCTTGTGGATCGGAGGAGATGATGGAGGGCCCCGTTCGTGGTAAGAGGAAGGAAAAGTGATTGGTGAATTATGAAAGTGATTTATTAAATGGATATAGCTAAGGGCTAGTGCGAACTAGACTTCTCCAATTGACATATACGCTAGAAAACTACCCGAAAATTGGAACGATTACTCTCAATCTGATAAAAGACAACTTTAATGGCCGGGATGCAGGGCTTCGCGAACCCCTGGGATGCCTTTGCAGACCCCCATTTGAGAACCACTGACATAGTCTATACTTATCTGTGTTTATTTGACTTTTGTTTTGCTTTATTTCATGCCCTGCTTTCTTTCACGTTAAACACCTGTACAACAATTCCGCTACTAGGCTGCAAGCGCGAGCTCTTCTGTAAAGGATGCATCTCAGCTGCGCGAACTCTCGATCAGCAGGAGCAGCTGCCCAAGATAAAGCTACGAGCTCTGGATTCGCCTTGCCTTCACAAAAATATAATTATTAAAAGACAAGTATTTTTGCAGTATTGCAATAAAAATCGTCAGGAAAGCAAGAACTGTCAAATTAACTGATTGTTTTTTTTAGAGACATGCTAAGCTTGGTTACTTCCTGAGTAAATTGAGCAATGAGAACAACAGTGCACTTCCTCTCTAGATCTACTAAAAGGCAGTGTCATTTGAATTTTTTTATATCACAATGAATGCAAGGTCGAAAATTAGTCATATAAACAAAACGAATGCAAAACTGGCACTGGCAAAACTGAGTTTACAAAAAGCAGAGAGCACGAGGCCTCTTCTCTTGTAAATCTTTTACACTCTCTCTCTCGTCCCTCCCCTCCCAAAAGAAGAGAACAAGGCCTCTTCTCTTACAAATATTTTACACTCACTCTCTCTCTCTCTTCCCTCCCCTCCCAAAAGCAGAGCACGAGGCCTATTTCCTTGTAAATCTTTTACACACCCACTCTCTTCCCTTCCCCTTCCTTTCCTCCTCCTCCTCCTCCTCCTCCTCCTCCTCCTCCTCCTCCCCCCCCCCCCCCCCCCCCCCCCGTTTTATGCTGGCCCTCGACATTTCCAGGGTGGACTACATCTGGCCTCAACACTCAAATGAGTGAGACCCCTGATATATATAATCTATAAATCACCTGCATAGTATATCTGAATTATCCACATAAAGAAGGGAATTAGAAATGCTCCATGAGGAGCCACACTTGTTTTACTGCGGTTCTTGAGGTGAAAATGGATATAGACATTGTTTCGTAGCAGGTCTTTATCTTCGCCGCAGTTAAAAACACGGATGGGTCAACGAATTGCAGCCAGACTCCCTGAATTGGGCAACAAATTGCGCCATTTAGCCAGCATGGCTGCCTAAGCCCGTCCATTGCTTCAACGAGTCTCGCAAAACTTGTAAATATTTGGTTCCATTGTATTTCGAAACAGACCCGAAAACTGTATGGTTAACTCTGTACGTTCCATATTTGCCGGGCATTCTGTTGTTACTCGAAGCGTCGTCGAAGGTTGGAAGCTTGCACTGGAGACGGGACAACTTGAGCTGCTCCCTACCATTCTCAGCTTGTAAGTGACTAATACAAACCCTTTTCAACTCATAAAAGGTAGTAGACCACAACTCCACAAATTAGCAGGAAGCACGTACGTAAACAGTTTGCATGTCAGACACCGGCAAAACCAACACGTGCGGCAGACGTCAGACGCACATCCTGAAAAAGTGGCGGCTACCCAGTCGTGGTGGGATCACTTTAACTCAAGTGATACCCCGGTGGACACTCACTCTGCCGTCGTCGTTGCGGCGCGGTGGTCAAGACGTTTGGCGGGGACCGCTGGGCAGTCCTTGTCCATTCCTCTCCCTTGGCTTGCAAGTTCTTTTAGGGACCACTTCTTCGATGCGGTTCTCGGCAATCTGGCGCAAGAGGCAGGCAAGCCCGGCGTCGGCACGAGGAAGTCCCACGCGAGGGGGGAAGTCGGCGGCTTCCTGTCAGGGGCAGGGCGAAAAAAAAAGAATGGAGTTCGAGAGCGGATGTTGCGCTGAGCTGGGAATTAACTTCCCCTTTCCGAGCGCCGTCGCTTTGCTCGGAAGAGAAAGCATCTAAACTTGGTTCGTGGCGAGACACGCGGGCTTCCCACACCCTTTTAGCCCCTTCTGGTCGTCCGAAGGCTACCTCACACGTTCCCGTCCGAGCATGACCGAGTGCATTGCTACCGCTCACGACTGCTTAGGACAAACAAACGTACGGGCAAACAGGCGCAATCTATTGGGCTACCCTTGAAACACTTTCGATCAGTCTATAACGAGATTGAATCAGTAATTGTAGATCAAATAATTGGTAACAGCAATCAGTATTCGCGAGATCAAATTTACGCCGCGCGGCAAACTGACTTAATAAAAAACAAAGCTACGCACTACCTATGAGAAATGGTCACTTGCAACGCTGTCATATTTAAAGACTATGGTAAAAAATATAGAAAAGAAATTATGGAAATATGTACACAGCTAAAAAGTGTTTCCAGGGTAACCCAACAGGTGGCGCAAAAGTGCCGGCGAGTTTTCTCGTTGCAAGCGGTTGTAACGAAACCTAATGGACTCGAGCACACTCAAGCGCAAAGCAAACTGGTGAGCATGCCATCACGATGAGCGCCAAATGAAGCGAGCACTCAGACGAGCAGCCTCGGGAAACGCAAGCCACGATCACAACGGAGGTAATTGCAAACAGCCTAGGGCATACACAAGAGCCTTGTTTAGGGCTGCCGGGGTGTTCTAGGCAAGCGCACCTATCACAGTGTTGTACGGAGAGGGCGACAGCACTCGCGCAGGCGTGGCAGCAATAAGCTTGGCGTCGGAGGCTTCGACAACGCTGTACAGAGCTCCGTGCCTCAAAGTGTGAAATGACCATGCGAGCTTAAAGAAACTAATTTGAAGGGTCTTCGACGATGTGGCGAGACATCTCCAAGTCCTCCAACTGTCCCACTTCCAGCGCGAGTTTCCTAGTTTTGACAACGGTCCAGCCTCTCGTGATGCGCAGCCAAAGTCTGACAAAAGGCAACCAGCATGCACTGGAGGCCGGGCTTATAAAAAAAGATGTCTCGCCTGCTCATCGTGTCAGTGAATGTAAAAGAGAAGAAGAAAAAATCATACCAAGTATGAGTAAAAACGCGGGCAAGCTAGCACATGACTTAGTTCATGTACCCAGACCGGGAAAGTAAAGAGTCGGACGAGCACCTTGGTTGTGCTTGTCAGTTTTTCGTCATTTTTGCAGTCTCTGGCAAATTAGGGACGGGACACCGAAACCTGACTCGTAGCCAGGCCAATCAAGCCAGTGGCACAACTCATCCTACTCCAGCCGCGTGTGAATCGGGAGTTTACAGTTAGTCACTTGGAAAAACGAGGCATGTGTCTCGTTTACACAAGACAGATGACTCCCCTGTCGCGTTTGGGTATCATTTGACTCGGCTCTTTGTTTTTTTTTACTCTCGCCTTGTTTGCAGTTGTACTTAACAGTGGCCCACAGTTTGTAAAGCTTGTATTGTCTCCCCTAGGTAAACCTTCAATATATTAATTAAAGTGAAGCCTGGGCTACTGCTGAGCAGCATAGATATAGCTACAGGTTAGGACAAAAGTCAAATTTCACTTTGGACGTTGAAGTAGCAGTAAGGTTATCTGCCTTAAAAGGGTTCCGACATCCCCATTTGAAAGAGGCAACTTTTCCAGTGCAATGTGACTGCGAAACTGTGGTCGTTCGCATGCATCACAACGCATACCTGAATGCATGATGGTGCAACACTTGTTCATACCTGAACCGGTCACAGCGACATGCTACAAGCAAAGTCCATTCAACTTTTAGCGTTTGGGGGAAATGCATGTCGCTTTCATACTGGGAAAAGCAATGTCAGTTTTAATGAGTCCGTTCATACAATTTTATGCTTGTAAAGGCACAAGAAATGTCCTCGCCATATCCGTGTATGAACAATCTGTGTTTGCTGCAATGCTCAGTGCCAACAGCGTCGCTTGTCACTTCCAAAGATCTCGCAGTTCCGACTGCTCGAAGAGAGCTGTATGACAGCGGAGTTATGGTTTTCTAAACTTGCAAAGTTTCTCTCTGAATGTTGCTTTGCAATACTCTTTGCATGTACCATTCGATGATGCACCCAACCCTCCAGCTGGAACCCAGCTGGACTGTCTCATTTCCAGCTGGGACCAGTTCCATGATCCAGCTGTACATGGGCTGATTTTCGCCTAGGTTCACTGAGGATTTCAGTCTAAGCTATCACAGTTCCATGAAAGCTTCTTATAAAGACTTCCGAGACACCCAAAAAAGTAGGTAGAAAGTAGGTAGGGAGGACCTCCTTTTTTTTTTTTTTTTTATGGCGCAAATTCCTCGGTACAAAAACATCACTTCCTAAGCCGCGAATCGCCGGCTTCCTCCGCGTGTGTGAACTCTGCTTTCGCCGACGTCCTGTCAAAACATTTTGAAACTGATAAGGAGAAAAAAAGAGAAACTCCAGATTTTTTAGCAAAACAGCAACGCCAAGATATGTACGCGCGAGCCGATTATAAAAGAGATGTTTGTCTCCAACAAAAACAAACAGAAACGACAGACGAGTCGAGAGACCTCGCCGACCCAGCTGACTCGAAGCGTGCATCCGACGCCAAAACAATCCTGTCTACCTCGAACCCTCGCCACAAAGAGGAACTTCTCGCACGGAGGTTTCACGATTTAACAATGCCCTTGCGCAACGCGCGCCAAGTCGACTGGAAAAAATTTTGGCGATCGAAGTGCAAGCCACTGTTGCGTGTCATCTTCTCCGTCCAGCCTCTAATCCTGCTTCGATTTCGCGCTTCGGTTATTTCAGTTCTGCGGCGACGACAAACGGACGCGCATATCTCGATCCTCACACACAACCCGTTCTCAAGGCGCTGTGGCGTTCGTCATGGGGAAGAGCCTCATTTAAAGTAGCGCCTCCTCTAAAAGACGCTGCGTCCATTGTCTTTTGTGCGCTATAAAACAGCCAGAAAAACGGAACACGCAAACAATCCGCGGTGTACGCATCTAAGAATAGTCGCGTCCTACGGTCGTAGCAACGTGCTTCGTCGAAAACGTACAATGTCTGCATTTTTTTTTTTTTTTTTTCTCACCAACACAGTACACACTCGGGTGGGGGAGGGATGAGGGGCACGGAAAAAGGATGACACCAATCCCCGCTTTGCACAAAGTTTAAAAGGCTAGCGATTCCGATCGAGAGAATCTGCTCATTGAGATTAGGGGTAGGAAGGTTGAAATGAGCTTCGAAAATGATGGAAGTATTTTAGCAAAAAGAAGAAAAGAACGAATACAGCGGCGTGACCTAGTCCCTCGATGTCACGAATCCTAACGGGCGCACGGTGGGGTAGATTACGATTGCGAACGCTTCCGACGAGTCGAGGGAGGTAGAATGGAGCTGCTTCTTACCCGAGGTGACGATCAGCTCATATTCCGGTGTAGTTAGGTCGAAACCGACGCGAGTTTTGCCGACTTGGGGGTGGCCCGGGAGTGGCGAAGTTTCTTGTCTTGGGTGAGCGCTACATGCTAGTACTTTATTGAAGTTGAGAGGGAGACATCTTGACAGGGCATCGACACACGCGACCCACTCTTAAAGCGAGTGACCTGTCGTTGAGTAGAAAATACAGCGGGCGATTTTTCTGTCGGGTTTCTGTACAGGTGGCGCGTTAGTCGGAATGTGCTTCGGGGAAATTTTTAGTGAAAGCGTAAAATAGTACTGGTACTACACGCCCAAACAAACTAAACGTTATCGCTAACGATGGTTAGCGCCGGTTAGCGTTGTCAAATGGATAATAGCGCAATACGGGAGTTTGGTTGTCAAATGGATGCTACAGAGGCTACAGATGACCCACCCGTTTGTGTAGTCCGATTCCATCAACAGCTTACTGATAAGATATTATTGCCTTAAATTAAAATTTTTGATTAAATAAAGTTATTCGCAAACAAAGTTTAGGTCTTTATTACGGGGATCTGCGGTGGCCTGGTGGTGGCTCCGCCAGTGGGTCTTATTTACTAACTCTGGCGCCATCTTCTCTTTGATGGCCGAACTAAACTGCAACCATTGAAAGCGCCAAGATAGCCAGGGCAGTTTAGGCGCGCAAGTTTACCGTAAATCATGTGATTAAAACCGGCGTGGAAAAAACACAAGTTAATTGTATATGCTACATAATATAACAAATTTATATGCGTATAAATAATTAATAGGTAAACACTTAAAATTGACATATAAAGTATTTTCTCGCGCGACTTTCTGGGCTTGTGGGCTCGAGAGTATCTATCACGTGACCCTTTCGTAAGTATGGCCGCCACAATGCATTCAAAAAAGCGGGTTTGTTATTACTACGATGGTAAGTTGCAGTCATTACTTATCTTTTCCCCCAATTACAACGCTGCATGAGAGTCTGTACTAGCGCTCTTTCTAGATCTATGTCCGCAAACTGTACTCGACGCGATCCTATTTTTTTACTTGCCGCGCGGAAGTTCGGCGACGACGCCGAGAGTTGGCGCTGGCAATGTTTTTTCTTCACTTCATTGTTCCTGCTAATGCTAGTGAACGTAGTTTATTTAAGACGATCTCAAGAAGCTGTGTCCCCATAGCGCTTTGCTGGTGTTGTTTCAGAGTTACTTCGATCGCAAGCGGGAAGTTTAACACTTCAAATGTCGATTTTTTTTTTTTTTTTTTTTTTTTTTGTGGTGGTTGCTTTGTTTTTGCATGGTGGGGTGCCGGTTCAGTCAAGCCGATCTTCGCACATTTGTGCGTCATGGCCCATTTCGGACTTATTTGATTTTTTCGTAATATTGTTCAGTGACTGAAGCTGACCTGGTGCTTCGGTTAGTCCAGGTAAATGCGTTAAGACAGTTGATTACGTAAGATGGTCCTTTCTAAACTTAATTCTTTTAATTTTTTTTCTATGTTAGATTTAAAGGGGCCGTGCAAGGACTTTCTTACTGGTTTTTAGTTTGCATTGAACCTGAGCGCACTGAACGTAGTAACGGCGATCCTATTCATTTCAGAAAAGGATCGCCGTTACAGGTACAAATCGCCCCCACTTAAAGGCACTTTTTTTTTTTTTTCGAATTTTGCTTTATTTTAAAAGTTAAAGGCAAATTAAAATTACAAAAAAACAAGCAAAAAATAACCTCCTTCATGGCATCCTTGGTTGCTTGAGTGGCCGTGAACTAGAGGAAGGGTAGTGAGCTCAGCGAGCATTCACGGTTGCCGCACTCTGTGTCGATGGCTCAAGAGGACGCCACTAAAGCATGTTCTGAATAGGCTGTATGAAGCGGGCAGCCAGGGCAACTCGCATTCGATTTGCTGCGTGATTAAACACCAATTCGGCATGACATTTCATTGGCCACAAACGACAGCAAACACGAGCTAATGATCGGCTAAACCGCAAGCCGAAGCTGCTCGTCGAAGGCCTTGGGAACACCCGGAACCGGTTGGATCCTCCAGTCGATGCGACCGCAGCGCCGCCGCGTACATCCGGGACCTTTCTACGTTCGCTGTTCGTTGCCGCCTGGTCCCTCTACACCTTTCTAGTATGCGCCGCCTTTTCCACCACCTGGTGGCGGGTGTGTCAACGAGTCACTTCTTGTTTCCGTATTTTCTAAACGGAATTTGTTTCTTTTCTGATCTAAAATAGTGAACAAAATCTACTTTTATATATAACTGAAACGGTTCGCTCCCTTATATTTTGTATTTCGACTAAAAACAACCGTTAGCGGCTCTGACCAGTTGTAAGCCCAGGACCAAAGACGTCACACATCGCGCGCTTGCGGCACCGCGGGTCACCCCTGTAGGGGGAGGAGGTTTCCACGTCGTCCGGTTAAAATATGACGCACTGATATTTAGTTACTCTCTCTGTGCCCGCTGGCTTGCCCGAACCCTGAGGGACGTAGAAACCGCAAAAGACGTAGACGCTTAAATATGATTGCAGGGCCCCTTTAAGGCTCACGAAGTTTCAAAATTTCGCATCTGTTACACTGTTATCCCATCTACTTAAGCCCCTAGCTACTCATGTTCCTCTGTGCTGCTAAGCACAATTGTATTGTGCTCGTCTAAGACACAAGCTGAAGTGCAATGAAACCTGATCTGAGCTGCTCCTTGCCTGCTCCAGAATGTAGTTTTAGCTGCTCCCAATCTGCCCCAAAACAGCTGTTTCAGCTGCTTCTGTGGCTGCTCCCAAGTACATTTCATGAGCTCCACCCCTGCGCATGTGATTAAGCTCTGCTCCAACAGGCGGCATTCTCTTTAGTGGGTAAACATCTCCAGGCTGTGTGTTCTCTATTTATTTTAGCACCTCTAGCAGTTAGTGAAGAGAAATAGTCCATCCTTTGAGGCAATTCCCCCCCCCCCCCCCTTCAACCCCCTCTTGAAGATAGCATCCTTATTCGCAAAACGCTGGCAAATTCTCAACAGCAGAAAGGCAAGGCAGCCATTGCGGCTAGTAGCAGACACCGTCACTTTTGTATACCAACAATGCAGCCTTACTGTAACCCTCTGCTTGAAGTGCGAGAGGACTCACTCTCTGGTGTTTGGCTTTTCCTCAAAACTACCAGCGGCACAAGAGCCACGCTCGGGCAACAACGTTTCATGAAAGCCATCATTTGCTGATTATGAAAAGTTGGGGTGTTGTGCCAAGGAAGATCTTGTACTGACTTAGTCTTAATTTTTTTTTTTTTTTTTTGTCCTAATTAGAGTTATTGAATGAGCTACACTGAGAGTAACAACCCTTCGACCATTTTGTTGCTTAAAATCATTGCTGCCAGTCATCTGAAGTTCTATCTGAAATTGCAGGAAACACTTTTCCGTCCTTTGGAAACAGTCTGCAACAGAGCGAAATGACATCGCTTGAGCTTCCCGACATAATTCCTAAAGCACAGGAAGTCACATTTTCGAATCCTGACTAGGGATGCCGCAAACTTTTTTCGAATCGAAGTTTTGATGATCGAATCAAGCGGTTCGAGAGGTTCGAAAGATTTTGATTTTTCGAATTGTCTATATTGTGAACTTCGACGAAGGTCGAATTTTCGAACTTGTTAAGCTAAGAAGTTCGACGCTTTTCGAACCGTCAAACTTATTACGCTAAGAAATTCGATATTTTTCGAACTTTCGAACTTATTGCGCTGCAAGGTTCGATGCGTGTCGAACTTTCGAACTTGACTGACCAAAAAATTCGATAAATTTCGAACTTTCAAACTTATTTACCAAGAGAACTTTCGAATTCAGAAAAGTCAGAAGGTCGACGAACTTCGAACTTTTAGGGTAAAAGTTCGACGTTCGTCGAACTTCAAAAGACTGGCGGACGGTTTCATTTGATTTCAAGTAGTGGGGTACATTTGTAATTTTTTTCTCAAACTTTTACACGCGGTGTTGCGTTCCTTACGAAAGGCAATGTCGTTTATTTCAATTTTCTGGCATGCTTAGGTTTAAAGAAATAAATCCCCGAAGGGGCGTGGAAGGACGACGGGTTTTTGACGATTATCGTTTGTGCCAGATTTGAAGCATGCTGCAGCCGGAGCTATTTATGGTAGACATGTTATACTTTTTTAAGAATGATCTATGTATAGCTTAGGCAAGTGCTGTCTTAAGATGTGATTATTGTTATTCAACGTGAGTTTCGAAGAAATGTCCAAACATTTATCTGCATGCAATTTCGACCTAAACTTGATATTTATTTTCGTCTAAATTGTTTGAGGTATCGCATTTAAATTAACACCACAGACAGTACATATTATTGCCATCTGCAGAATACAAAATAATATATTTTTTGTTTTTTTCACGTTAAGGAATAAATTAACTCATGGGAGAAGATTTCTAATAGTGTTCAAGTTCAGCAAAGAAAACTTTTTTTTTTTTTTTTTTTTCGCTTCACGTTCCTGGGACGTGTTTCTTTTAGCCTGTACACATCTTGGTAAAAGAAACTTGTTTCGAAGTTCTAAACCTCTGAATATGCAAGAATAGAACACTTCCGACGAATTCTTGATAGTTTTTTTTTCTCCTGCTTTTTATTCCCGCATTTATTCTTTCTTTTTTTTTTTTTTTTGTTACTATCGGCACAGGTATTTAAGTTGAAAAGACAGCTTTGAACTTCCGAACCACTAAGCATGTGACGAGTAGTGCCTTCCGACAACGAGTTTCTAACAATAACCATCTACGCAACCTCTTATGCAGTGAAGAGCGACAGTATCTATAGCTATACATATGCATAAATAATTTCAGATTAAAATAAGCTCGACCACGCCCTCTTTCCCCGTATTGCTTTCTTTAACAGTCCGAAATACCTGCAAGGTAGAGAAGGAGGCACCCGCTACCCTCTTTCCCCCCGTTTTTCCTCTTCCGACGCCACTTGTATGGCAGAACGCTCCTCGACCTCGAGTTGTGTCGACTTTCATGCTTTTTGCAAGGCGATTCCTCCGTCCCAGAAAATAAACCTCCAGGACAATTATAAACTTCACCGGATCGGATTACTACCAGCGTGCAAGGGGTGGCGAGCAGGTTTGCCAGGTCGCTTCAGGGTTTTTCTGAGCCTCAACCTCCTGCTCGCCCCTGGCCGTTTCGAACTGGATGAGTCTCGTAAAACAGTGTGTTCGTGTAATCACAACTGCGTGATGCAGGTTAACCCCTCCCCCCCCCCCCCCCCCGGGGCTAGCGGCCACAATTCTGCACTGACAAATATTCCAGCACATCCGGGACACTCGTCGTCTCATTTATTTGCCTGACCAACTTCGCAGAATCTAGATATCACACCCTAACTTTTCTAAACTTGATTTTGTAAAAACCAGTGAGTCGTGAAAACGTTATTTGAAACTGAAACTGTGGAAAAACTTGAAAATCGGACTTCGAACTTTGAAAAGTTGGATTAAAAAGAAATTCAAAATCTTCAAAGTTTTTTTTTTTTTTTTTTTAATTTAGCGTTAAAAGAGAATCGAAACTTTCGAACTTTATGCAGAAAGAAATTCGAATTGTTCGAACTTCATGTCTATAAAAATTCGAAGCGTTCGAAGTTTTCGAATTTTTTTTTCAAAGAATTTCGAAATCTTCGAATTTATCGAACCTGAAGGAAAACAATATTCGAAATATTCGAATTCGAAATTTTAGAAACCGTGAAAGCTTCGAAATTTTCGAAGTCGAAACTCCGCTGTGGTCAAAAGTTGTGAATTTTTCGAATTCAAACCCCGGTCGGTACGAAAATATCAAAATTTTTCGAAATCGAACCTCAGTTCGCTTCGCAAATATCGAAACCTTTCGAAATCGAACCTAGGGTGGTTCGCGACATCCCTAATCCTGACCATCGCCAGCTGTGCTCGCACTGCACCGGGAAACAACATGGCGGTACCCATGAGACAGTTCGGAAATTGATTGTCGACACTCTAGATTGTAGCCTATTCTGTGGCTCTGGTACCAGTTTAGCCTAAGTTTGGCACAATAGTCAGGGTAGGGACCCAGGTTGGACAAGGATTCTAAGAGTGGATGTAGCGGCAGAGTAGATTATTGGGCTAGTTGCTATATTTTGATGTGTAGAAAAAGCGCCGGAAGAAACAAGGATGATACGAGGTCCGTTTAACTTGTCACATTGTCGTCTTCTGCATCATTTTTACACGTTGGGGCTGTGGCAAACACATTACCTTTGACTCTAGTGCCATACTTGGAGGGAATAGGCCTCACTGTGTGGCGGGAGTATTCCAAACCGTACTGGATTTTGCGGTATGTATATAATTTTCATCCAGAGTCCTGCCCTATCCTAGTCGGGACAGCATTTTGCCCCGGAGTGGCAAAATATGGGGTTAAGTTAAATATTTCCAGTTTGGGTGCGCCATCCCTTGGTAAATCTAAGTACTTCAGTTGGAGCTGACTGCGCCGCAGCCCCTTTCCCCTCCCCTCCAACAGAGAGTTTTGTTGTCATCATCACATTATTATTTTATGACAGCAGAATGTTACTTAACCCCCTTTCCTGACCTCCTTTACTCGAGAGTTCATAACCCTAGGCGTGTCACCGCTCTGCCTTTCCACTCACAATGTATCCTTCCTTGCAGGGGACATTGGGAACTACTACTACGGGCAGGGCCACCCCATGAAGCCCCATCGCATGCGCATGACCCACAACCTGATTCTCAACTATGGGCTGTACCGGAAGATGGAGATCTACGTGAGTGTTTGCATGAGACTTTTCATTACCTGACAAAAGCTCCTTTTTTTTTTCTTTCTTTACCATGATTGTTATTGGCAGGGTTTCCCAGCAGACCCCGGGGTGTCTATGTGCAGCTATCGTGGCAGTAATTGCAACATCATGCAACACAATGTCTCATGACATTGTGTCTTCCCTCTATATTTGGTGGAGGAATGCCTTTGCCAAACTTTAGCTGGAAAGTTTCCCCATGTCACTGTGACGAGACCTCGAAGTGTCATGTGACATCACAGTGTCACGTCAACACCGTCTGCTAGATGTAAACACAGCAGTGTTTACATGTGTAGCAGATTATATAGTGCCTCGGTCATTTCTAGAATTCACTTGCAGGATGTGGCACAATTTTTTCGTTGCTTTTTTCCAAAAAAAATTAAAATTTGAACGGTTATTGGTTTTTTTCTAAATGCTCTGCATGTGTTGGCATTGAGGCACGCCGCTTACAAGGTAAAACATTGCAGAGACCGCACAAGGCGACCCAGGAAGAGATGACCAAGTACCACAGCGACGACTACATTCGCTTCCTGCGCAGCATCCGGCCGGACAACATGTCGGAGTACAACAAACAGATGCAGAGATGTGAGCCTGCTTTACTTTCGAGCCTTTCTTAGCAACCTTTCCAACTCCCTCGTGAGAGCTTTTATACTGCCTCTCGACCCCCTTTTAGGGAGTTGCCTCCGCTGCCAATCCTGAAGGCAAGGTGACACGGATGTTATGAAGCTCCCGCGGTCGCTGTAGTTGTTGGGTGTCTCTGTTGATTTTTTGTTTGTTTTTTAAATCGAAGGCAGGAGAAACAACCTTTCTTTTTTTATTTTAGTCCTTGAAAAAATCGAGCTTCATTATAAATAATCCCTCTTGGTTTATAGGTGGGCCATAGATTTTCCTGTGTACATCTATAAAAAAAATTAACGGATGTTTTTAATTTTTTATTTATTTTTTATATATTGGTGTATTTCGGTGATCTCATTCGGACAGATGCTAAAAACCTTGATTATCGCTGAAAAAATCGAAAAAAAATATAAGAGCTCAAGTCAAAGAGGGGACGGTTTCAACAAAAACAGTCCTAGCTAAATTTTCAGAAATCTTTTTTTTTTTCATGTGTTTTTTACATTAATGAATGTTTATTTGCATTTTTAAGTTTTACTGTAAAATACCGAGCAAGTGCCCACTCAAAATTGAGATATAATCGCGAAAAATTGGGGGATGGGCGCTTGTCCGATCATCAGTTTTATATATAAATGTACTGTGCACATTTTTTCATATCTTAGAAATTTGGATATGGGCGCTTAATGTGGAATGGGCAGATGCGCGGTATTCTACAGTAACTTATTTTATATTGTTGACACCGACTGATGTTTGTCGGTGGTTTTCACTTAAAACCAGAAAGTCTATGGCCTATATGTAGGTGCATCAATTGCTCAGAAAAAAACAAAAAAAACTGATGGTCGGAGTGTCAGCTGGTTCAGAATATTATCAGCTCTGTTCAGTCCTGAAATTAAAATGGCACCCAAAACTTAAAAAAAAACAAAAAAAAACTGCAGCAATAGACAAAAGTTGATTTGGCATTATGGGAATCAGGGATGGGCAAAATACATGCAAATATGTGTCGAAATACAAATACAAAATAATTCGTCACAAATGTATTTAATTACAAATCTAATTACATTTCCAAAAAAGCATTTAAGTACAAGATACAAATACAACCAAATGTATTTGGTCTCGTCCAAATACTTTTCCAAATACATTCCTCAAAATTTGCGTCAGCGACTTCAGGGCACCTGCAACGGATTTCTGGGTATCTCATTTTAATTTTGCATCGCGCACTCAGGAGTTAGTGTGGGAGGCTCTAGTAACATACTAAAAATATAATCACAAAAAAAAAAAAAATGTAATCAGCTTGGACGTAATAGGTGAAAAAAGTACAGAGCTTCAGGCAGCTTTTTTTTTTTTTTTTCGATTACATTTTGGTTTAGACCAACAAAGAACCGAGACGACCAAGACGCCCAGCACTAGCTAGAGAATTTTTTATTGTTGCAACTCGCACCAGTTACGAAAATCTGGACGACCCGCTCATTTAGAATGTTCCAGGCAAAAATATGGGTGGAAATCAGGCTGGAAAGCATCACAAGTTGTCACAGGCACTTATTTAGCCAGTCTGCCTGTGAACGTCGATTTCGTCACTATTCTTGCCCTAGACTAGCACCGTAATCACAAAGTCACTAAACGCTTGTGCTTGATTGAGAGACACTGCATTCGGTGCAGAACATAGTTTTCTTCCTGGTCTGGACAGTGACAATAAATTTGAGGGATGTATTTTCGCCCACAAAATTGTATTTAATTGCAATTGTATTTGAAATACCCACGTTTTAGTATTTAAATACACACATCAAATACATTACCTAATTTGTAATTAAATACAAATGCAAAATACACAAAGTATTTAAAATACATATTTCAAATACCTGTATTTGAAATACATAGGCACAACTGTAAAAAGATTTCAAAAGGGTCACACAGAAGTATGGCACATACCACGAACAGGGCAAATTCAACTGCTTCGTTTGTGGCTGTTGAGCATTGGAATTGACAAACAGCTGCTGTTTCGTTGCCACAATATGGCTTATTGGTTCTTTATGTGTACATAAAGACATACTTATGATGAGAGTTCTCCACAGTCAACGTCGGCGAGGACTGCCCCGTCTTCGACGGCCTTTACGAGTTCTGTCAGCTGTCCACCGGCGGGTCCGTGGGTGAGTGCACTTCTTTCTGTCCTTTCATTCTCTGAGTTTTTGTTTAGTACGAACCTTCTTCGACGGTGTTTAACCGCGGGACTAAATTTGGGACTATCAGACATACTCTTTGCTACGCAGCTCAACACTTGGTGCAGGAATGCCGCATTAAAGTTTTTTTGTGTCTCACTCATACAGTCAAACGCCTTTCATACATTCTCTGCAGGCAAAAACTTTTTTTTGTGACTCGCTTTGATGTGAGCACGGAAAATCGAATAGGCGAAATCATGCGTGAGCCGTCACGTAACGACTCACCTGCGCGACAGTTGCATGCAGCATTTCCCAAGGTACAGGGGCGAGGGTGTGACCCAACCAGTTGGAGATGAGTACAAGGAGGAACTTTGTTTTTACCTGCCTAGCACTCAAAATTCGTACAAAAGCGACCTTTCCGAAAAGTGCTCTCTGGCCGGCGCCATTTTGCGACCCTCGCGACCCGTATCGGCCAGAAATTTCTGTCACCCTACTCGGCTGTGGAAACCCAGTCTGCGTGACTCTCCACCTACATTGTACGTTTGGAGTTCGCCATTCTTTTTTGTTACATTTTCACTTTATTTTCCTATTTAGGACGCTATTTAGGACGTAGCCTGCTCCGCTGTTGCGGAAAACAAACGCAGAAAGCAAATGTTGAACGGCCCGCAACACAGGGTTTTCGAGGATTATCTTCACCAAGATAATCTCAAGAAATCCCTTGCGGTCTTTGCGAAAAATAGCTCGTCGGGGTGCGGGGTAGGGGCCAGTTCAGACACTTCCGTTCCTTCGCTTCAATGCTGTGCAAAAACAAGCTCTCTTCAAAACATGCCCTGCATCAAGTCTGGATTCCATCCGTTTGTCATGAAGTGACTGTCGTCAATTCATAGGTTGGATGTGCCGTGTTATTTGAGATCTTTAGTCTTGTGTGAATAGTAGATTCTGAGTTCGATGCGAATTCGAAGTGAATAGTGGTTTTGCCCGAATATTTTTGATTCAAATATTGAATAGTTTTTCCACGCCTTTCACTACCATTGCATAATACTTAGACGAAAACCCAGCTAAATTTGTGAAGGTTGTTTCACTTCTTTATTTATAAACTAAGTTTAATCTATCTATATTTTTGAATTGTGACCTCAGAAGGTCTGGTGTCTTGGGATGGCAAGTAAACGACAGATTTGACATAAAATGAATCCTGTAGAGATGGCCAACTATATCCAAAGGAGTGAATTTACAGATCTTGCTGTATAAAATATTCTTTCTTTAATCTAGAGTTAAATAAGAATGAATCGTGCATGATGAAAGCAGGTTGTAAGGGCATCTCTGCCTAACATAGTATACTCTTGCATAACAGTTTAATTTTGAAACTGTTATGTATCGAGGTGCGGAGCACGGTGTGAATAAAGACGACGACGAGGGTGCTCGGGCAGTCCGAGCCGAGGCTGATAGCCAGCCATACATCACTTCGCGTTCGGTCTCTTAATTATGATCTTTTCTTAGAAATATCACATTGGCGACGAGCAAAACATAGCAAACTACGCGGGCAAAGACACTAAGAAGGACGGAGAGGCACCAGATTTCTTGGCAAGGCGTCTTTCTGGATTTTCTCCGATTACGATGCCTAAGCTCAAACCCTTTCTTGGAGAAAGCAAGGATGAATGGGAGGAGTATGAGGAAGTACTAGAGCAATATTTTATTGCAAATGACATAGCAGAGGAAAACAAGCGCGCAGTATTTTCGTCAAACTGTGGCAAACGCACATATTCGCCTCTCAGAAATCTTCTGGCTCCAGAAAGGCCTAGAGATGTTGCCTATGACGACATTATCACGAAACTGAACGGGCATTACGCTCCCAAGCCTTCCGTAATTGTAGAGCAACCGAAGTTCCACACAAGGATTCGTCAACAAGGAGAAACCGTGAGCGACTTTATTGCATCTCTGCGGAAGTTGGCGTACTCTTGCGACTTCAAGACGGTGCTGAACGACATGCTTCGAGATCGGCTAGTCTGCGGCATCAATAACGACCTCATGCAGACTTGACTTTTGGAAGATGCAGAACTGACTTTTGAGAAAGCGGTCAAGGTCGTCTTAGCCATGGAAGCCGCGACGAAAGATTCCCAAGCAATCGCGTGCCGGGCTGGGACGACTTCAGCTGTCGAAACCAACCGCCTATCAGAGCAGTCATCTAGACAGTCTCGGTGTCGTCACTGCGGAAAGTCACACGGCTCAGCAGCATGTCGTTATGCTAATATGACATGCCACAACTGCAAAAAGGTTGGCCACCTCTCAGCGGTCTGCACAGCAAGATCCTATGACGAGTCAAGCAGCGTCAAGAAAGATGGGAAAGCTGCGCGAGGCTATCAGAATTCGCCAGGACGACGGTCGAAAAAGGCGCCATCGGCGGTTACAGTTCACAGCCTCGACGACCCCAACGTACATGTGGCAACTGAAAGCATCTCAGGTTCCTCCAATTATTATAACTGTCATTATTCAAGGCAAACCACTTGACATGGAACTCGACACTGGGGCAGGCGTCTCCGTAATGGAAGAAAGACGTTTACGAGAATTGTTGCCAGATGTGAAGGTTGTCCCCTCCAATGTCGTTCTTAGAGGGTACTCAGGAGAGTTGACACCGGTTCAAGGTTACGCCGAGATCCTGGTGAAGTACAACGATCGAGAAGTTGTTCTTCCTCTGTTCGTCGTTGGCGGAACTTCCCCAACTCTGCTGGGACGATACTGGATACAAGCTCTGGGTCTACCTCTTGCCGACGTCGTAAATCTACATAATACATCAACAGAGCGTCTTTTCAGCAAATTTCCAGAGGTGTTTTCTGGTGGGCCAGGCCTGCTGAAGAACATGGAAGCCAAGATTTGCGTGCCAGATGGATCAAGACCCCGGTTCTTCAAGCCACGACCAGTACCCTTTTCATTGCAAGATCTGGTCGCTCAGGAGCTTCAACGGCTAGAACGGGAAGGAATTTTGAAGCAAGTCAGGACTTCTGACTGGGCAGCCTAGATTGTCCCGGTACTAAAAAGAGATGGTCCAGTGCGAATCTGTGGAGACTTTAAGGTCACCATAAATGCAGCAGCCCAAGTGGAAACGTACCCGATACCGAGAGTCGAAGAGCTCTGGACGAAGCTCTCCGGAGGCATCAAGTTCTCTAAGTTGGACCTCAAAGATGCTCACCAGCCAGCAGGTGGTACTCTCTCCGGCCTCAAGGAAGTATGTCACTATCAATACCCACAAAGGATTGTTTGAGTACAAAAGGCTACCTTTTGGTGTTTCATCAGCGCCAGCAATTTTCCAGCGAGAAATGGAAAACCTGCTTTGTGACCTCAGGCACGTTGTCGCCTACTTTGATGACATCTTAGTAACTGGAGTGGATGACTCGGACTACATGAGAAATCTCGAAAAAGTACTTCAGCAGCTAACAAATGCAGGATTGAAGCTGAATTTTGAAAAGCGTGAGCTTTTTGCATCAAAGGAGTATTTGGGACACCTGATCGACCACACAGGTCTTCACCCTTCACCAAGTAAAGTGGAAGCAATTGTAAGGGCACCAAATCCAAAAGACACAAAGCAACTACAAAGTTTTTTGGGCCTGCTTAATTTTTACAGAAGATTTCTACCCAATTTGTCAAGTGTCCTGGAGCCGTTACATCGGCTGCTGGAAAAAGGATCACGCTGTGAGTGGTCAGGAGAGCAAGAATGCGCGTTCGAGCGAAGCAAAGAGCTGGTAACTTCTGCTGGTGTCCTTGCACATTACGACCCCACGAAGCACCTTGTGCTAAGCTGCGACGCTTCACCCTACGGAATCGGAGCTGTACTGGCGCACAGGAGTGCCATGGGCGAGGAGAAGCCTATTGCATTCGCATCACGTCGTCTCATGGCAGCAGAACAGAACTACAGGCACCTGGACAAAGAGGCTCTTGCACTCATGTTTGAAATAACAAAATTTCATCAATATCTCTGGGGTCGACCTTTTGAGGCAGTCACTGACCTCAAGCCCCTGCTGGGACTATTAGGCGCTTACAAAGGCATTCCCCCACAGTGTTCACCAAGAATCCAAAGGTGGGCCTTGAAACTAGCTAGCTACGGCTACGCCTTGGTCTATCGTCCTGGAAAAACTCTTGGTCATGCTGATGCGCTGAGTCGCCTACCACTGGTGACTAAGAAATTCACAGTGCCAAAGCCCGCAGATGTTTTCATGTTGGAACGTGACTACAAAATTCTCTCCCCAGAAGCTATTGCGACAGCTAAGGGACGATATCTGGTGTTGTCGAAAATACGTGAGGTGCTATGGGCCGGTTCAACTTTTCCCGCTACACCAGAGTGGCAACCCTACGCTACAAAAACGCTGGAGCTCAGCGTGCAAGACAATTCCGTGCTATGGGGTACGAGAGTACCCCATACCATCTGGTAACCAGTTGCCAGAATTGCCATTAGTGGACGTTACATTACCCGGATCTTCTGCGCCGACATCCCCGAGAAATCCAATAGCGTCGTCTGTACCTCCAGTGCCACCGCCTGTACCTGTGGTGCCAGCATCCCCGCAACATTCCGCACCCGAGCTTCAAGCTCCATTGGCCAGCCCTAGCCAAAGGGAAGCTTCCCTTATCGGATCGACCAGTTCTAACGTTGAAGCAAGCTCAAAAGTGAGAAGATCCACGAGAGTCAAGAAGCCAGTGTCGCGCTATGAGCCATAGCGAACCAGGGGTAAAGGTGTGTTATGTATCAAGGTGCGGAGCACGGTGTGAATAAAGACGACGACGAGGGCGCTCAAGCAGTCCGAGCCGAGGCTGATAGCCAGCCATACATCACTTCGCGTTCAGTCTCTTAATTATGATATTTTCTTAGAAATATCACAGAAACTTTTACTACAATGTAGATACACACATTCACAAACTTTTCATTTATTTTCGAATACAGTCGGCTCAGGTGCACCATCCCGCTTTGAATGTATGCTTTACTTCCAAGCACACAAGTACAATAC